CTCTCTGCCTACTTGTGATCTCTCTCTGTGAAATAAATAAATAAAATCTTTAAAAAATAAATAAATAAATAAAGCTAGCTGCTATGAATATTCTTTGTAAGTCTTTTTTTGAACAGAAGCTCTCATTTCTCTGGAATAGAAGTGAGACTGCTGAGTCACTGGGTAGGTCTATGTTCAGTATTTTAAGAAGCTTTCCATTCCCACCAACACTGCAGGAGAGTTTAAGTTAACCCACATCTGCACCGACATTTGGTATTGTCAGTCTTTCTAATTTTAGCCACTCCGGTGGGTGTGTTGTGGTAGTTCATTGTGGATTTGTCTTTCCCCGATGAATAATGACTTTGAACATCTTCATATAATTTCCTTCTATATAAAGTGTCTGTTCAAATCTTATGCTCGCTTTTTAACTGTCCTGTCTTTTCATCAGTACACAATAGTTTTATCAGAGGACTGACATGAAAGCAGTTCCGTGTTCCTGGGCGCTCTCTCTGGAGCCAGGAGGCCAGATAAGAGGTTAAGGTAACAACCCAAGATGGGAGGGGATGTGAGCCTGGGCTCGAGGGGAACCAAAGAGAAGATTCCAAATTCAAACGATACTGGGGAGAGGACTTCTGGCATGACTGAGTGAGGAGGTCAACAAATCCTTTCCTCAAAAAGCAACTATAACCCAAGACAATTAGAGGCAGCCAAGACAGGAAACAGATCTAGTTCTGTCGGGAAGAACTGGAGTCTGTGGCCCTCCGCACAGGGTTGCTCTTACCCCCGCCTCCCACCCCCAAGGTCTTCCAGCAGCTAGTCTGACGGCAGAGGGGCAGACAGGCCAGAAAAGCCAGCAACTGCCCTCCAGCTGCCAGAGGGACGCGTGTGGCTTGGAGCACAGTCAGCTAAATGTGGCGATCTCAGTGGCGAGGAAAACAGGGAGAGCCAGTGGCTCCTTCGGCCCAAGCAAGTCACCAGTCACCTACCTTGCCAGGGATTTAAAAAGGAGGTGGAGAGGTAAGACAACCACAGGGGGCTTAATAAACCCTCCACAGAGCCTTGCGTGCCCTGACGCCGAGCACACGCCCAGAAGAGACACTGTGGTATTGGCTGACTCCAGGAACAAAACCTTATCCTTATGGTCAACTGATTTTCACCAAAGCAGCCAAGAAAGTTCAGTGGGGAAAGGATAAGGTCATCAGCAAGTGGTGTCACAACTGGGTATCCACATGCAAAAGAATAAAGCTGAACCCCTATCTCACACCATATACACATTAATTCAAAACAGAGCAGCAAAGACCCAAATGTACAAGCTAAAACTATATACTTTTAGAGGACATAGGGAAGAAACCTCCATGACCCTGACTGTTCTTAAACACGAGAACATGATTCATAAAAGAAAAAACTCATAAACTGACCTTTATAAAGAAATAAACATTCAACAAACAATACTATTAACAAAAGGAAAAGACAGCCATAGAACAGGGAGAAGATATTTTCAGAATCATATACCTGATAAAGGGCTTGTACCCAGATTACATAAAGAACTCGTAAAAGCAAAAACCCTGATTTGTTTTTTACAAGAGCAAAAAATCTCAACAGACTTCACTGAAGAAGACGTTCAACATCACCTCTCATTAGGGAAACACAAATGAAGAAAAAAACCCTATATGCGTTTATAAATGTTTACAACAGCTTTATGCACAATCATCAAAAATCAGATGCAACCAAGATGTCCTTCAACAGGTAAACAGCTAACCAAAAGTGCTCCATCCAGACAACAGAATACGATTCAATGCTAAAAAGAAATACACTGTCAAGCCATGAAAAGACACGGAGTCATCTTCAATGCACATCGCTAAGAGAAAGAAGTCCGTCCGCAAAGGCTACATGCGCCCGATTCCAATTACAGGACATTAAGGAAAAGGCAAAACTACGCGGAAGGTAAACAGATTAGTGGATACACTAATAGGAAACAGATTAGGGCTGAAGAAGGGAGAGCGGCTGAGTACCAGGAAGGAGGAGTCGGAAGAACGTTCACGGTGACAGGACGGTTCTGTACGGTACTTGGGTGGTGGACACGTGACCAAGTGCATCTGTAATGACCCACACAGTTGTCCACCACGAAGAGTGAACTTGAACGTATGTAAGCAAAAGAACGAAAGGAAACATGGAATAGGTGCGCGGGCAAGCCCCGGACGGGATGTGGGCTGTGACAACCGGGTGTCGCTGCCGGAGGAACGGGGGAGGAGGGACAGAGGAGCCGACCAAAGGCTGCTCTGACTGGGAACTATAAGGAAAGACCAAAGGATTTCAACATGAATGCTGTGCTCTCAACGGTGAAGATGTTCCTCACAGAGGTACAGGCTGATACCAGAATTGAGCAAGGACGCAAATCGCAGAAACACGTTAGGTTTCTCCCGGTCACGGAGAAGCAGGAAAGGGACGCCTAAAGCAAGCCTGGGGCGCCAGATCACACCGCCGGAGAGCAGGTGCGCACCCACCTGTAGGTCCGTATAAATGCTGACGAACGGGGTAATCCCAGACGCCTGCGCACGCACGGTTTAGTGGACAACCACGTACTACTTGCCTGCTCCTGCCCACTTAAAGGGTAGAAAAGTGGCGCCATTCCACTAAGTCACGAACACACTCAACACGCAGATCTTTCCTTCTAACGGCGATCACTTCCGGTGAGGGAGGCAACGATCTACGGAACCGGACGCCCGGGGAGACCTTCCCAGCAGGCAACAGCATGCACGAAGAAGGGGATGAGACCAAGAAAGTAGGAGAGGGCCAGGAGGAGCAGGGAGAAAAGAATGTGAAGTGGCAGATGGTCATCGAAGCCAAATACTGCAGAGGCCACACGGGACAGAGAGCTGGGACCGTCAGAAAGTCACTAGGGACACTGAGGTGTGGACCCAGAGGAGACAGAGGACTTGAAACGGATTGGCCTCAAGCTTCTCACTGGGCGAAAATGCTAGGGTACGGAGGCGGCTGGTGGGACCTGTTGATAAGAGACTGTCCCTATCACCTACAAGCAAAATATGGGGCGCTCCTGCAAGGCCGACAGAAATATTTTCTTGATTAAAAAACCTATATAACATAATGCATTATTTCAAAAACAAACTCCAAAACTATAGTTGAGTCTAGTGTACGAGCCTAAGACCCAAAGTTGGAAAATACATTAGTGAGGATCGTTTTTTTATGCTGATGATCATCGCGTATTAAAAGAGGATGTTTTACCTGCACGCACGGCATTAGCATGTCTGCACAGAGGAGAATATCTGAGAATTTCATCGTGTGCTCCTCATGACCATGTGTGACCAGGCTCACACTTGTATTTTCTGCTGGGACCCCCTTTATTTTCTTTTAATGATGCTTTTAACAACGGAGGGTATAACTTAAGCTAACAATTGATTATTCTTTCGACGAGAAGTTCAAACATGAGCCTAATTAAAGAATTTCCCAACACTTCCTCCTTACTAAAACATGTACTGATAATAAGGAAGCCCCCGACGTGCCATCCAGCCTTCCATCCCACTCGCTACCGCTGCCCGCATCTCACCATCTGGAAATACCATTTGTCACCCAGGAGTAATTGGCCAATTTGCTGGGTTTGCCCTTTAAATGTTCCATGTTCTCCTGACACCTGTGAGTTTCATTTAGTGGCTTTTAGAACTTTTTACTCAAGATGACATTGTCTGGAAAGGTGTTTTGAAGGACAGATGTGACTACAGTATCCTTTACTCGGAAGAGAACATAGTTCCACAAGAAAGGCACACGGTCCCTGAAAGAATGCTAATGCCACCGCCAGGACCATGGGGAGCATAGCAGGGTCCCAAATGGACACACTCCTAACTCGTTCACACATGACCGCGGTAAGTCACGACCACAACCTGCCACAACACGTTGCCATCACACCGGTCACAACCATAACAACTCAGCATCGTAACTACAAGTTACAATCACAACATACCATCAAAACAGGCAGCCACCACAAGTAACGATCACGAATTCCAATCATAACTTATTTTGACACATCCAATCTGGCTAATTCTCTTCAGTGTAGGATCAGATCTTGATGTGTATTAGGATAAAAGGTTTAAATCTTTGGTGATTTTGGGGGGAGGGAGAAGGCATGACTAAGAGGGGCTAGCATGAGGGGGTTTCCTTGTGGTGATGAAACAGCTCCATATTCAGCATCCTGACTGGGTGTGGGCACTGAAATCTACACCCACGATGAAATTTCATAGACCTGCATGCATGTGCACGCACACACGGGTACACGCAGAAGCTGATGTCACGTGCATCGGGTCTGTATGTGACTTAATCACAGCCGGTACCACTGCCAGCTTCCTGGCTTTGACAACATACTACGGTTACAAAAGCTCAGTAGCGACCTTCGGGGGACGCTGGGTGAAGAGCACACAGAAATTCTCCTGCATAATTTTTCTGACTTCTTGTGAATTTTAAACCTTTTTTTAATATTTTTTAAGTAATCCCTATTCCCAAAGTGGAGCTCGAACTCACAACCCCGAGATCAAGAGTGGCACAACTCTACAGAGTGGGCCAGTCGGGCTCCCTGTGTTCTAAACTATTTTAAACTAAAAAGATATTTTAAAAGATGTCAGACTTCCTATGGGTCTCCTAAAAAATGTTTGTCATGATGAGCTTTGCTCTTCCCAAGCCAATGGTGAGAGGAGCCCCAGGTTGGGGGCGGCAGTGGATCCCAGTCACTGGCTCCGGCTTGGGATGGACATGCTAGCCACGTGGCCCCTTGCCTTGGGAGCACCAGGGGGACCACGTGGCTTTTCCAAGTTGGCTTATGAACTGCCCCCGTCCTTTGAGCTGCACAGCCCACATGATTCCAAGTGAGCCCTCCGAGTTGTAAGCAGGATGCTTGGAAATGACCTTTTCTATCCCAGAGGCTCAGGAAAAAAGGCTCAATTAATCTGGTCACCACGTAATCACATTTGTAATGAGACTGAGGGGTTCGGACAAATCAGTTTTTGTAATCTCACCTTTGTCAGGTTTGTATTCACCACCGCCTAATATGTCTTCAAGATCCTTGTCTGAAAAACCTGGAGAAAACAAAACAGGAATGTCAATACCACAATACATTTTTCAGAAATTTTGAGAAATACACTTAGAGCGTTGAGTGGGACCATGAACAAGGTGACTATCCCCCCTGTGATTGGGTTATATGAGGTGCCAGAGGTGACGAGATGTTGCGGATGTAATTAAGGTCCCAAATCAGTTTGGCTTTGCCTGAATCATAAAGGAGATTATCCTCGGTGCCTGACTCAAGAAGGCCTTCCTGAGCTCAGACACCAGGAGCAACGGAGTTAGTCTTCCACTCCCAGCTCTCCCCGGTCTCTGTCTTTCTCCATCAGTTCTACAACCGCAAGGAAATGCACTCTGCCAACCGCCACACGAATGTGGAAGAGAACGCCAGCTCGGAGAAGACCAGGCCGGGCCGACATCGTGATGTCACGATGTCCCAGATTCACTGTTCCCGAACTCCTCACTCACCAAAGGAAACTGTGAGCCCGTAAGTGGGTGCTGCCTTCACTCGGTAAGCTTGTGACCATTCATTATGAGGCAACAGAAAAGCAACACAAGGAAAGAGAAAACTGGATTCTGGCTTAACCACAGAGTACACAACTCTACTGTTCTACGTGAGGAAATGGAAAGAGCTTGAATATTTGGCAGATTTTTTTCCTGAAAATGAATGAAATGAGGCTGTCACTGCAAAGAAAACCACTGGCAGAGTCTGTTGCCGATGGTAAGATTTCAAACACAACTTAGAATTTTTAAAAAACCTATATCCACCTCTGTGAGCTCAGCAGCCTCCCAACACTTAAGACTTGATCTAAGGAGATGGGGTGATGTTAACAAATGAGACATGGCACTATCTGGAACTTCAAAAGAGCTCAGGACACCAGGATTTCCAAATGACCAATGCACAATATATAAAACCACGAATGGGTAAACATTCCATTGAAAGTCCAAGCAAGTGCTGGAGGGTTTAATGGAATCAAGTATGAAAAGTTCACTGATACGGTCTCACATGCCGCCCTGCACTGAAACAGTAAAAACCCGCCACCAGCCGGGTCTGGGTGTCTTAACAACGAAGAATATCTACAACAATGATCTAAAAAGTCAATTAAAATACTCCTTTTCCAACTGCCTATTATATGAGGCCAGATTTCCTTCATACACTTCAGCCATCACAATCCATTACAACGGAATCTGGAAACAGAGTGAGTCTAGCTCTTCTGCTTCAACACAGAAATGTGCACAAAATGTACACAGAAACAAAAGCCTTTGAAATCCCCGATGATTCTGGGAGTCCAGGGACCAAAACGTTTGTGAACTACTATTTAGGGTTCTCTCCTATGCCTCGAAGTGCTCCCAGCTCAGCCGGGCCCGGGGGGCTCTGCGGGTCGCCGCGGTGAACGAGCGACGCTTTGGCCAGGGAGCTGCCGTGCGGCCCGGTGTGTGCGGCCAGCTCTGACTCACCCCCTCCCCCAGCGCTCGGTTTCCTGCGGCCGTCGTCTAGATCATTCCGGTCATCGAGGGCGTCAGCCAAGTCAAAGTCGTCTTCTGCAGTGGGCCCCCAAAATATATAAGAGAAAGTCAATCGGTTAAAGCACAGGTAGCTCTTCAGACATTTGCCCCAAAGCGAGCTCCACGGCACCCTTCTTTACTGCCCTCCCTAGAGTGGCTGTATTACCTGCAGGCTTTGGCGGAGCTCTGGTTGTTCCTGGCCTCTTG